AATGTAGGGCTATATATATATATCAGCATTTAGGAATTGTTATTAATGGAACCATACAAGCAAATACATTGGCATTTGCTTCTTTAATAACGACAAATCTCTGCTTTATATATTCTCGGAAGAAAGAGCTTGGACTGGTTGCGTATTTGATAATAATTTGCTTTATACAGTCATGACACAAGATGTAGAGATTAATTGGTCTTTGCCAGAGTGCTGGTAGGTGCAGAGGCCATAGGAATTGATAGGGTTAGTGTAAGTTTATCATACTATTTGCTATTTGATGTCACTGCTATTCTTCACTCTAACAATTTTGATTTATATACATGGAGTATCATGTTGGTTCTTACATAAGGCAGTATTCTTTATATTAGTTCACCTTCCTGCCATCCTGAAGCAGTCCTTTTTAAGAACAGTGGTAGAAGCTGTGGTATTAGTTGGCGGCCAGGTCTTAGGTCTTATTATTTAAATAGCTGTATCACTTTTTGTTTTATAGTTGATTGAGAAGTTTCCCTTTCTTTAGGTCTCTGACAGTAAAATGCATCACTTCCTCTTTCCCATGTATCATCATAAACAAATCAGTGCCAAAGCCTTAAGGGAAATAAATACAGCATAGGAAATCATCCATCTATGGCACTTGTGACTGAGAAAAGCCTTTGAGATAGGTGTTATTTCCCCTCTTTTTCTTAGGAATAGTTAATAGCGTCTAAATTTCTAATCCGAGAGGGGAAAAAGAGAAAAGAAAAAGAATATTATAGGAAGTCTTCTTTTCATGGTAGGTTATTTTTAGAATTTGTATCATTATAAAACATGCAATGATGCATCTATAAATGAAATATAAAAAATGTATCATAAATATTTATTAAATATCAATGCCTTTATTAGCAGGGAAATTGAAAATGTTCTACAAACAGTTGTTTCTTTTAGGTGTTTTCAAGATAAAAGCAAGATAGAGGTTGTATTATATTAAAGCTTATTACTAGCTAGAGCACATAATAAGGAAAACAAAAATATAGATTATTTTAACTGGAAAATTAAGATTTTTCATTCCTCAATTCATACACATGATAGTACGTTTATAGTGGAAACATGACCAAATACAATGTTATGCATTAGACAATGATATTTGGTGATATCTCTAAAAAAATGTCTATCATATTTAGAACTAATTTAAATAGATGTACACAGATAAAGGTTATGATAAATTACAGAAAGATTATATATCACATCAGTATATTATGTACAGATAGTCCCCTACTTAAGAACATTCTACTTATGAACATTCCATATATACAAACAAAAAGTACTAAAGTCCAAAAAATTGATGCTAGCAAACTTCAAATTTCCCGGGCACGAATATAGTTCAAGAGTCTGATACTTTATAAGGTATGTCGTGCTTATTGGGATTTATTTACAGGTATTCTTAATGTAAACAAAACTTTAAAACAATGGGAAAAAAGGTAATGGAGACCTGTCTTTCGACATACAAACAAATCAACTTACAAACAGCCTCTTGGATCCCCATTATGTTCTTAAGTTGGGGACTTACTGTATTATAATGCTTGGGTTCATGTAACTTTATTTATGGTTAAAATGTTTTAATAGTTTGAAAATTGAAGTTGCATTGAAATATGGAGTAGAGACGTGTTATTTGAATTGTCATGTTTAGGGATGTGAGAATAGGCCTGTTTCTGTTATTAACCCAATGGCGCCGGGTGTACAAAACAAAAAAAAAAACTCTACGCTTAAACAAACAAAGGCGGCGCGCCGACTTTGAGCGCGTGAGTAGGGGACATCAGCCTGAATCACTGGCTCGGCGCGCTTTGGCGCGCCGCCGGCTCATTCAGCTGCACGGCAGCTTTCGAGCGCTTTGTTACACGCCGATCGGCGTCACCCGGCACCAAGGGGTTAATAATAGAAAGTATTTATTGATATTATATTTGTTTGTGCTGTAGAGTAATTTATTAAGAGACAGACCTGTTTATAGAATTAGTCAAAGTAATGTTACCTTGAGAGAATTAAATAAATTTTACTTCAGTAACTTTATTCGACATGTGAACTAAGAGAGTTTTCCTTTCAGCTTGTCACAAGAGAAAGAATGCCACGTATAACAAATGGTGGAGGTGGCGTGGCACGGGGTGCTGGGGGATCCACTGGGGGCTCCCTGAACTGGCGCGAAGTTCACCAGCGTGTCCGGGAGCTGAGGAGGACATTCTTGCACCTCTCCGTCAAGACTCCCACTGACGTGACCTTCCGGCGCCTCAGCCCGACGCAGCTGCGATGCTACTTCCTCCTCTCTCCAGGCCAGGGGCGAGAATCTACCCTTTTCTATGCAGATATTAATCTTGATACTGTAAGTAAGGCCATGATGGTAGTGGTGTATATTTATGACTTTTTTCCCTATAAACAGATGGTCATTAATGAATACTGTTATGAAAATTATGTGGTTAGTTGTCTTGTTCACCAAGGTTCTTATATTTTAACAGACTTGGTGTAGTAAGCTGGTTTACCAGGAGGTTCTGGAGTCTGGGCACTCTTTCCTCTGGCGCCGCACTTCCAGGGAAGAGCAGCTGCTTAGCGAGCGTCGGCGCATATCTACATGGGGAATCACTAACTATGAACTGCATCCTGCGTCTGGAACCCTCGTCTTCCCAGCGTCATCCACTATCTTCCAGTGTGTACATCCTGAGAGACCTGTAAGTGATAGATTAAACCACATTCGTTTTCCTTCTCAGCATTTTTCTGAAGAATAATGGACATC